AGGAATGAAGCTGGAGATAGAATGATTGAATTTTGTACAATCAATGACTTATTCATTGAAAATACATTTTATAAGAGACACAAACTCAGGTCATACACATGGACTTCACCTGATGGTATGCATAGGAATCAGACTGATTACATCTATGGAAGGAATTCAAGGATACCAAACAAAAATCACCAGTTATTTCAGAAGTGGATGATCAGCTCTGCTTTTAAGCCTGTCTTAGTCTGATGGAAACTTTAAGACCCTTTTGTTGTTGTTGTTATGTGTCATTGAGTCACTTATGACTCTTAGAAACCCTACGTACAATATCCCTCAAACATCCTCTATCCTATGCCAACCTTACTGTCTCCAAGACACCTACCCTCATTACCCCAGTCACTGAATCAGTCCATCTCATTGAGGGTCTTCCTCTCTTATGCTGTCCTCCCACCTTCCAAGCATGATATCCCTCTCCAAGGACTTCTGCCTCCTTGAAACAGGCCCGAAGTATGTTAGACAAAGCCTCAGAATACTTGCCTACAAGGAGCACCTTGGTTTCATCCTCTCCAAGACAAACTTGTTAGTTATCCTGGCAGTCTGTGGTATATTCAAGACTCTTCTCCAGCACCACAGCTCAAAGCTATCAGTTCTCTATCATCTCTAGTCATAGTGCAGTTTTTTGATGCATAGTAAGTAATTGTGAAGACTATGGTCGGGATCAGGCGCACCTTAGTATCCAGACTGACGTCATTGCTCTTCAGTACTCTGGAGAGGTCCCTGGCTGCCATGTAGCTCCTTTTATCACAGTAACATGCAAACTACCCAAATATGGCAAACTGGCTGAGTGGAGTCTATTAGCACAAATTAAAATTTAAAATCATAAAGGTCATTCGGATCAAAAAATCAGAAGCTACTGACATTTTATGGATGTCAAGATTTTTTTTGAAAAAGGAAAGTAGTTCATTCCCAGAAAAATGCTTGTTCTAAAACAGATCCAGCAACAGTGTGGCTTATGTGCTTCCTCTAGGCACACCTTGACTGATTTGGACTCTGAATATGAATGACGCTCAAGACTACATTCCGCGGTGGTTACTCATCTGGACCGCAGACACGTAGGACCTGTCTGAGAGAGACGCGTGGATCAACTGGCTCTTCATTAGTGAATCATCCCTTTAATGTCATGAAAACATAGAGAAAAGAACAGGGAGGAAGCCCTAGTTGTTAGGAAAATGTAGACTCCTGGTACAATATGACATCCTCTCTTAATAAGGTCTGAAGCGTGACTCATGTAATTGTCCTAATTTCTTAGATTGATGTGGAACATAAAACAGTTCTTTAAGTTGGTGACAGGTCCCAATAAATGTCTAAAGTGGATAGAACTACAGATGAGTTTAGAAGGTGATTTTATAAGGAAGGTGGAGATCCCAACTCTCTCCGCCTTATTTATATATGTGTGCCTATATGTATTTTAGTGCTTCAGAAAAATCTCTTGACAGGGAATTTGAGTGAGCTAATTGGCACCATGAAAATATCAGGAGTCTTTCTCCTCCTTTCTCTGGCTCTTCTCTGCTTCTTCTTAGGTGAGTTTTTCCTTTAAAAGAACTATCCATTATTTAGATCAATGAAGTGATAAATGTTTCTAGCTAACATATTTAAAATAAAATATTTATATAAAGATTTTATTCTAAAACATTGTCATAAAAATTGTGATGATGAAAATGATGATATTTATCACAAAAGTGGCTGTTAATTTACTGAGATATGCTATATTCTAGGCAATGTACTAATGGTTTTTCTGCATTGCTTCAAATACACACAATAAGTTATCTATATCCACATTTCGCATGCAATAAAGCTAACACAGAGATGTTAACGTAGTTACTAAAGATTTACAGCTAGAAGTAGAGAATTTATAAATTGGATATAGGTTTTCCTGGCATTAAAATAGATGTTTGTTTCATAGAAGGAATATATATTTATTCAAATATGGAGAATATTTAAATATTGATTTGGTGTCCAGGACAAAGAGAAGTTTTCTGTCTTCAGCTATACATACCAAGTCAAATCACTGAAAGCTAATTAATCAAGAATGAAAACAAAAATTATCATCTCAGGTAGAGAGTCCTTTAGAAGAAATTAATGAACCTTAGAATGTAGACACATATGTTATGCTAATGAATTATTCAAGTTGATTAAACAAATTTCCAAGCGAAAATATATTTGTATACTTCCATGAAAAATTATCATATAGTCTCTAAATTAAATGTCCATAAGGCAATCACACTGTACTCTGATTCTATTATCTGATAGCATAGAACTGTTTAAGTGAGTAGGGTCACAATATCTATTTCTTTTCTTTATCTTTTAGGTAGTTGAAAATGTGACCTAAAACCTAGTCTTTCCTCTTCCTCAAACGGCCTGTGCATACTTTTGGAGAAATAACTTTCTGCAACATATTGAAGTTTGTAGAATGAGCCTAAAGCTGGATATTTTATTTTATAGGCTCATTTCTTTCACAATAGCAGGTGAATTTGAATAATTGTCAATAGAATTTAAATTACTAAATACAAATTTTTTTAGCAAGAGTAAACAGATAAGAAGCCATTGTTAGCTAGAACTTATTTATATTTCAATAAAGGTATAGTTGGAAGTATAAAAATATGAATGAGGATTCTTATGATGTTATAGAGAATGCTTAATTATTTTTAAAAAATAAATGGAATAAATGGTTCAGTCTATTGATGAGATTGCAGAAAAACGTTAAAGTCAACATATTAAAATTAACTCATAGATATATCTTCAAAAGGTAATTACTACTTTCCTATTGCTTCAATTTACAAGGATAAACCTCTCTTTTAATTGTATCTGATTGATAAATACACTTAATTTACCAAAACATGAGATCCTAAGAATTTACAGATGACTAAGAAGGCATAGTCTATAAGAAGCTTAATATTAAAAAATATTAATAAAATACTAGTATTTCAATAGATAACTGTATGACCTTTTTGCTTGTAATTTTCTTCATCACTCAAATGAGCTATAAAGCTGCTATCTCTTTTCAGAGAATAAGAAGAGAATGGATGTAAACTGTTAGCATACTGACTGAGTCATACTAAATGTTCATCTATTAATAACATTATAGCCATTATTTTGTTAAAGTTTAGTTTAAAGGGTACTGTACTGAATTCAGATCTTCTAGATTTGAGACCAGTAAGTTTGCCATTCATAACACAAAAGATCTTGAATATATCTTTTGGTTTTTATTCACTCACTGATGCACATTTTTCCCCCTGTCTATCCTCTCCACCTCCCCAACCCAACAACAACATCCTCTCCACCTCCCCAACCCACCCCCAAAACACCCCTTGTTCCAGATTGTTCTCATACGTATAATGCATGATCATATATTTCTTTTAGACATTTTTCCTCCTTATTTATTTAATATAATGTCTGACCTTGTTGATACATAAGTAGCAGTGTGGGTTGTTGTTTGAAAATATACTACTAGGTCAATCTTTTTTAAAAGGTTTCATAATATGAAATCAGATTGAGCCTGAGAAGGCATGGGAGTTTACAATTTTTGTCACTGTTCAAAGTTATTTTTATGATCAAAGAGTATTTACTACTTAAACTTTTAATACTTAACTTTCAAACATGCCTCCACTATGCCAAACTATGATCATTATCAGAAGATTTAAAAGAATGGATAAATAATGAACTTTCTGCTATATATTGCAATTTGTAGAATGAGTCTAAAACAGAATAATTTATATGTACATTTCTTTCACAATAGCAGTTGAATTTAAATAATTGTTAGAGAATTTAAATAGCTAAACACAAAATTTTTTTAGCAAGAGTGAACAGATAAGGAACTCATTGTTAGCTATACCTTATTTATAATTTCAATAAACGCATAGTTGGAAGTATAAAAAAAATAAATGAGACCTTTTAAAATAAATAGGCCTAATAGGAAATATTTTCAAACAAGAACCCACACTGCTACTTATGTATCAACAAGGTCAGACATTATTACAATAGAAGAATTGTGACCTCAGTTGCAAATTAAAAGCCTTATTCTTATGTCAATAATGACAACTTGAACAAGGATGACGTTCAATTCATCACCAAAAGATCAGTTAAAAATCTCTTCTCATGTGTAATGCTATGAATATTAGAATACTAATTAAAAGACATATTGTGATGGGAAAGTCTGCTGTTAGGGACCTCTCCAAAGTACTGAAGAGCAATGGTCTCACTCTGGAGACTAAGGTGCATCTGATATAGGCCATGGTCTTGGCAATCACTTGTTAGACATCAGGGAGTTGAACAATGACTAGGAAGGATAGAAGGAGAATTGATGCCATTGAGCTGTGGTGCTGGAGAAGAGTATTGAATGTACCATGGACTGCTAATGAAACAAACAGGTTCATCCTAGAGAGGGTTAAACTGGGCTGCTCCTTGGAAGCAAGGATTCTGAGTTTTCATTTGACATAGTTTGGACATGTTGCAATGAGGGACCGATCCTTGGATAGGGAATTCATCCTTGGGAGGGTGAAGGGGAAGACCCTCTATGAGGTGGATTAATTCAGTGATTGGGGTAATTAGGGTAGGTGTGTCAGAGACAGTGAGATTGGCACAGGACAGAGCAAGGTTTAGGGCTGTTGTACATAGGGTCGCTATGAGTTGCAAGCAACTCGATGGCACATAACAGCAACAACAACAACATCCATATCTATACAAGGAATATCTATTAATGCAATTATACTAAAATATACTTATTGACTACTAAAACCAAATATAATGGAAATTTTGCCATATGAAATAATCAAACATGCAATCAAAATGTATGTATTTTCTATTTTATAGGTATAGTTGCCATAGTATCTGGCTTCATTATCACTTATGCTTTGACTATTTTCAATGTCTTTCACATTCATTATATATTCAATGTCTAATTAATACATTGTTTTTCATTCATATAAAAAAATCTCATTCTTCTCTTTAATAAAGAATATGCTATGAGGTATTTCAATCTGTCTTTCCACTTGAGAAGGGCACTGGAGAAGGATTTTACTCACCTAGACTCTTTGACTCGTTGAGATGTTCTTGCATTAGCACGTGAGAGGTGTTGCATGAACAAGGATACAGACACAAACACTCAGCATCCATATTAAGATTAAATTTAGGACTTATATTATTTCAATATTTTAAACATAAGCTAATTAACCACAGCATAGCACCACACATCAAACTTAAAGAGGTGGGGAAAGAGAGAGAGAAGGAAGATAGAATAGATTCTTTTCTTCCACCTATTCAGAGATACATCACAAGAAATTAATTATAGGAAGGAATACACATTAATTCATGTTACTCTATATTAGGACTAGAAAGGACTTTAAAGCTTAGTAGAGAAGGTAAAAAAGTAATCGATGGTTCAAATAATAAACACTAAAGCTAATATCTTCTCCAAACACCTGTAACAAGCTAGATATTTGGATGAAACGGAATGAATGGACAGTATCTTAGAAGGTCAAAGTTAAAGGTGCCTTTCCAACATAACATCTCCAAAACGGCATCAGAGATGATCAAGCCATTCTCACAGTGAAGTAGTAGCAGGGCCAGGACATTAACACGAGTCTTTGGATGTTTAATCTGGTTTCCCCCACCCCAACCCACCCCTTAATTCCCTTGCTTAGTTCCCTTTTCTTTCCCATGCTATCACATCATGTTCAAAGCTTCTAGGCTTCACTGAATGGACAGATAAAAACATCAAGTAAGCATGCTTGGTTTCTGAGTTAGCTAAGAGTCTTTAATAAAAACACTCCAAGCTTTTGAGAGGTGTTGGTACCACAGAGTATGACTCACCACAACCTTCTGAACAACGTATCTGAACCCTGTCCTTTCCTACACCGTCCTCATTATTTCTGACAGACTCAATCCCTTCGCAAACTTAGGAGTTCTTTACTTTTTAAAATTTCACTTCTGTACACGTATATGAACATTTTGTTTAATTTTGTGCTTTTTCTCCCTCTTTGTAGGTGTCTTCAGTCAAGGAGGACAGGTCAGTATACACTTTTACCTAGTGTTTAGGCCTAAGGGATGATTGAAGGACATTCTTTGACCAAAAAAGCAGTTGTATCTAAGGTAGTAACAGCATAAACTAAGAGCAAGTGGGAAACATGCACCAATAGGCTGAAGTAATTTCCTTTGAACCATAATCACTTTCTATGCATAAAGTATTCATTAAAAAGAAAACACAAGACTGAGAAAAACTGGATAAATTATGTATACTGCATTGAAACAGATGAGGGAGAGAAAAGGTTAAAAGTGATATATATGATAGGGTATTACGCTTATCACAAGAGTCCGGAAAGAAGGTTGCCTAGTGGAGTGTACTGGAGGCGAGGTGGGCGGGGAAGGGGGATTGTGTACCAATGAAAGAATTTTTCTTCTACTTTTCAAAGAGAAGAGTGAACTTGGGGGTGGGGGAAGGGTGGGCAGGGAGAAAAGTGCAATAATGAATGAATGGAAATTCAAAATCTTTGTAAATGTTCATTAAAATAAATTTAAAGAACAAGATTAAAAAAAAAAAAGAAAACATTTACAAGGACTTCAGACTCTCTGAAGGCACAGAGGCTACCTGGTACTTTGAAACTCTTGCTCTGATAATCTGTAAACCTGAAACCAAAAATCATTTCTTGATTTTTTTCTTAAAAAGCAGATAATAGTTTAGTATAAGAAATAAAACCTGTCTACAATGTATATGAAATCAGACTGACGACATCACTAAAAATTAGAAACAATTCATAAAAGAGTGAGAATAGTTGCAGAATTTGAAGAATACAATCAATTTTAAGTACATATAGAAACTTTTGTGTTAGTACATGTTTTGCTGTGTATCTTCTCAGCAATAGCAAGAAAAAAGAAAATGTTAAAAAGAGACTAACCAGTTTTATATTTTGAATAAACAATAAAGTAAAAATAGTTATATCTATGTTAAAAGCTATACTTTAACATTGATTTTATTTACATGACCTTTGGCAAATTTACTGAGCTATAATTTTCATAACTATAAGAAAAAGAGAACTTCATCCACTTTATAGGACTTTACTAAAATAAAAATTACAGAAACCATTTGAAAGTATTTGTATCAACTAATTGTTGAGAGCTTCTGGAGGAGTTAGCTTCTTTTTAAGAAAAAGAGAACTGAAAGCAGGTAGAAAACATATTGATGTTCTTTAAAGATACATAAATTGATTTAATAAGATTAAATAAAAAGTAAACTCTGGGTACACAGATAGAATTACACAAAAGCTGTATCACAAATTTCCCCCTTTTTAGTTCT